GAGGCCTCCCCTGGTGGGCCTGTGAGGCCTCCCCTGGTGGGCCTGTGAGGCCTCCCCTGGTGGGCCTGTGGGCAGCTGGAGCGGGGGCCCAGCCTGGCAGGCTCTTCTCCCCGTCAACCACCTCCTAAGTCGGCTTGCCAGACCCAGCGAATAAAAACATAGGACTCCCAGGGAAATTTGATTTTCAAATAAACACCAATAATTTGTTAATATATTTGAAATATTTGGGACACACTCACGCTGACAAATTATTGCTTGTTTATCTGAAATACAAATTTCACTGAGCTGCCTGTACTTTTTCTAACAAACTTACTCCAGGGAGCCTTGTTCCCCGGGGCCGCTTTAATGAGTTTGTTGTGAGGCCAGTTCTGAGGAACAGGAAGCAAGGGTGGGGGGGCGGGGGGAGAAGATGAGGGGTCTTTGGGAGGAGTTCCTAGGGATGAACACTGGAGATGAGCATTCGGAGACAATTCCGCCAGCGGGTGAAACAGCCTCCTCAGCCACGCCGTGACTGTCTCCCTAATGCAGTTCACACCTTCCCTCCAGCTCTGTCAGTCTCTGACGGGCGTCAGTGTGTCCCATCCTCCCGGGAGGGCAGTCCCCTCTGCCACTGCCTCACTCAGCAATGGCAGGCCTGCAGGGGTAGGGAGGGCTTGCAGCCAGCCGTCTCTGCCCACCGTGGGTCGGGCCCTGAGCAGGCCTCGCACTGTCCCTCAGGCCTGATGTCCGAGGTACAGCTGCGAACAGGTAGGAGCCCCACGTTGCCGGAGTTGTAAAGAGGGTCCCTGGGAGCCAGGGTGCACATGTAGTTGCCAAGAGGAGTCCCTGGCGTCAGGTCTCCCTTCTCTGCACCGGGGGGACGTGTAAGGGCAGCAGAAAGCGGGGCCCTGGACCTCGCAGCCGGGAGGCAGGGGTGACTTCAAATGCGGCTGAGCAGGTTTTCGAAAGATACACAGCTTCACATAGCATTCGTTTTATGGCTTTATCAAATATTTCATCATCAGATTGGATGAAAATGGTGAGTCAGTCTAGCCTAGCAGGAAACCATGTGAGAAATATTTTCTCCAAACACTCAGCAGATAAAGCTCAGCTTCAAGAGAGAGACTCAAAAAAGCTGCTTAATTGCTGGACTCACCCAATCAGTCCCGCTCACTCCCTTCCACCTTCGAGCCAGGGACAGCACTTCCTTACGAACCACAAGTGACTCAAAGACAATGGGTCATCCTTGCAGCACAACCAAAAGTCTCGCAGGACACACGTTTTAACCACATACAGTTATGGTGAACAAAGGAGCTGCATCTTCTCTGCGAAGATCCCATAGGGTAAAAAGCTGTCTTTGCTGGGACCCCCTGGGCCCGTCGCCCCATCTTTGTCCAAGGTGGGGTTGGGCAAATGCGGAGGTGCCTTGTCACTGGACTGTGCTCACCCAGTTTGCATCCGTGGTGCAGGAAGGAGGTAACGCACTCCTCGTATTGAATAAATACAGGTGGCGTTTTCCTTCCTAGAGGCAATAAGAGACTTAAGTCTGTGGTTTAGCAAATACAGAACCACAGGAATTTTTCTTAGGAAAACAAGAATCAAACCTTCTCCTTCTTTCTCTAGCAAAATAGCATTAAAAGATTTCAGCAAAATTTGGTTGTAAGCCTCTCCCTGGACAGGGTCAGCAGTCACTGTTGGGGGATGGGGGATAGTCAACAAAGACATTGCAGGAAGGCAAATAACTCCACTCACTCTGAAAACAGAGCCCATGAGGAGGGGCCTGAAAAACACGTAGGAAATACGGGGTTAAGCCTTATTACCTTTGGAACTCGGTGGAGCCGAGGACCTGGAGGCTGTGGCCAAACAGTACAAAATATCTTCTCCGGTTGACCGTCAATCAAGCAATCTTTGGAACAGATAATACCTAATAATTAACTGGGTCTCTGTCCTTTCTCAGTTTGCTTTGTGATACATTTCTTGTGCATAATGCTTCTCTCTTTAAAGCAGTGGTTCTCAAACTCCCCTGTGCTTTGAACCATCTGGTGGGCTTGTTTAAAAAGACTGCTGCCCCGCCACCCCCCCCCCCCCGCACTCGCCTCCCCCGTTTCTGATTGGGTAGGGCGGTAGGTCAGGGGTGTGGCCAGAGAATTTGCATTTCTAAGAGTTCCCAGGTGATTCTGACGCTGCTGGTCCTGAGACCACACTTCTGAGGGGGGGAAAAAAGATCTGCTTTGAAGGCTGCAATTTTTTGTCAGAGGAAATAATTTAGCAACAAGTAGTCTACAAGAAAAAATTTCTATTTGATAGGTACTTAACCACTACTTAAAACCATAGTTCTCTATCTTGGCTCTGCACTTAACCAGCACCTGGGGGGTTTTCAAAACTCCTGCTGCCCAAACCAATTTAATCAGAATCTCTGCGGGTTGGAGACATCAGTATTTTTAATGTTTCCCAGGTGATTACCAAGTGCAGTCAAGGTATGCAGCGCTATTTTAAGAGGTCATTCTTGGAGAACTTCAGCCCATGGGTTGTTCAGACAGGTGAACAACAACATTGTGTCAACGTTGATTTCCCCACTACTTAGATCTATAGCACTTGTTTTCTTGTCAACACACAAAATCTGTAATTGCCAAGGATCGGGCTATCAATATAATGAGATTCAGCAGGTATCAATAACAGATGTAACCCAACTGCTATAAGGGGTCTGCACTAATGTGAACAAGATTCCCTCTCCCACCCCCAGGGATTCTGATCCAGTAGGTCTATGGTAGGACTCTGGAACTGTACAGGTGGTTCTTGAACCAGACTGAGAAATAACTAGTAATGGAAAAATCATGGGTTTGAACTGGGGGTGGGCATGCGTGAATTCCATTGCTGGTGACCTTGGGCAAGTTACCTAACTCTCTCAACCTGTGTTGACTCATTTTTTTTTTTTGTTTTTTTTTAAGATTTTATTTATTTATTTGACAGAGAGAGACAGCAAGAGAGGGAACACAAGCAGGGGGAGCGGAAGAGGGAGAAGCAGGCTTCCCGCGGAGCAGGGAGCCCAAGTGGAGCAGGGAGCCCGATGCGGGGCTCAATCCCAGGACCCCGGGATCATGACCTGAGCCGAAGGCAGACGCTTAACGACTGAGCCATCCAGGCGCCCCTGTTAACTCATGTTTATAAATAATGTTAATAACACCTACCTTACAACCTACAAGGTTGTTATAAGAATTAAAGAGAATATATAGAAAGAATTAGTGCTATGTATGGAGCATGGCAGATACCAAATAAATTTTATAAACCTTATGAGAAAGATGGTCTGGTGAACAGGTTAATTATGCATTCAGATTCTTCCCGTTCTCTTTCAACATAAACTTAAAAAACACAGAAATCCCAGCGGCTGGACAACACCCTCTCAGCTTCTGGGAGAAATCATCGAATGATGATCTAAGTGTTCTGTGCCTTTATGAAGGTCTCTGGATGAGGGTATTTGGAGCAGAGTTTCTGTGTCTTGTAAATCACGATTGAAGATACTGTCCACATTCACACTTTGATAAAAGAACCTCATGAGGAATTTCTTCTTGGGTTTAGTTCTAGAAAAAGTATCTCTAAATATCAGTCTTCTTTTTTCAAGAGGGCTTTTATCTGTGTAAAATCTAGAGCAAAGTTTTATGAACCTGTGAGTTTGTATATTTTTCCAGGGAAAGGATTCACCGCCTTCATCAGATTCTTAAGGGGATCCATAGCCCGAGAAAAGGAAACAGCCACTGGTTTAGAGGCAAAGATTGTTCTCGTGCTAGGGTGACCCTATGTCCCAGTCTGCTGGGGACCGAGGGAAGAGGCAGGGTGGGAGTGGGGATTCCTGGGATATGGACTTCCAGTACTAACACAGGGGCAGTCCCAGGCAAACCAGGACAAGTTGGTCATCCTCCCTCCTGCAGTGACTTAATCAGTTTTAGTGACTGAAATAGAGTTTATTGCTTCAGTAAAATTGTCGTAGTTCTGCTTTGTTCCCTTGGTGTTTCTCATGCTATATTTGAGTGTTTCTGGAAGGATATACATTTATATTTTTAAAGATTTATTTATTTATTTGAGAGAGAGCATGCTCACTCGAGAGCGTGCATGAGCCAGGGAGGGGTGGAGGGCGAGAGAGAGAGAAACTCAAGCAGACTCCCTGCTGAGTGTGGAGCCCAATTCGGGGCTCATCCTACCACCCTGAGATCATGACCTGAGCGGAAATCAAGAGTCAGATGCTTAACCGACTGAGCCACCCAGGTGCCCCTAGAAGGATATACATTTCAAATGAAGTACTTTGATTCTAGATTTCTGGTGGAGCACAGCTTCTGCAGGAGCCAGCTGGGTGGGGAGAAGAGACACACCCTCCGGGGAAGACGTAACCCTTGACCTGGGTCATAAAGCCCAGAAGTTTTTACGGTGCTTTTCAGTGACAAACCTGAGAGGGAAAAAAGGTTGGGTCCAGGAGGTAGTGTGCATGCCCTGTGGCAGAACTCGGCTTTCATGGCTAACCCTCCTCCTAAATCTCCCTTGTTTGTCTTTTAAGTGTCTGACGTGTTTTATGGTGTTTCACTTTGTTCAGAAGGTTTTCATTTTCATGAGATCAAGTCTGTCAGTCTTTTTCTTTATGGCTTCTGAATGTTGTGTCTTGCTTAGAAAGCCATCCTCACATCACAATTATAACAACCTTCTGCTAGTATTTTTTGGGAAAGCAGCCATAGCTAAAATGTAATGAATGACTCTTGCTGTGTTCCAATTGAACTTTTTTATGGACACTAAAATTTGAACTTCATATAATTTTCACATGACACAAAATATTATCCTTGTTTTGACTCCCCCCCACACACCATTTAAAAATATAAAAACAGGGGCGCCTGGGTGGCTCAGTTGGTTAAGCGACTGCCTTCGGCTCAGGTCATGATCCTGGAGTCCCGGGATCGAGTCCCGCATCGGGCTCCCTGCTCGGCAGGGAGTCTGCTTCTCCCTCTGACCCTCCTCCCTCTCATGCTCTCTGTCTCTCATTCTCTCTGTCTCAAATAAATAAATAAAATCTTTAAAAAAAAATAAAAACAATTTTTAGCTGGCAGGCTATACAAAAACAGGCAATGGGCTGGTCTTGGCCATCATTTGCCAACCTGTGAACTACAGGACCAAGTGGTCATCCTCCCACTCCTGTAAATAGCCAAAACCAGAAAATAAAATTAATCTGTGGACATAGTACATTATGAGTGCCTAGACTCAAAACATCAAACTGTAAAGACTCAATGCAACTCAAAACAACTCAAACTATCAGTTGAGGATATAGTAAATTACTTCTGCCCAGACTCAAACCATCACCCTTTTACTTAGAACTTTTCTTTCAAGCTTCATTCCTAAATGTAATTCCTACAGCTATCATTAACTATTAAATACAAAAGAAAGAAAGAAAGAAAGAAAGAAAGAAAGAAAGAAAGAAAGAAAGAAAGAAAGAAAGAAAGAAAGAAAAAGAAAGAAAGAAAGAAAGAAAGAAAAAGAAAGAAAGAAAGAAAAAGAAAGAAAGAAAGAAATCACCATAGCAGGACAGGTAGGAAGTGTCTGGAGTTGGCATTCCATTAGCTTTCAAACTGGGATATCAGAATTTTATCTTCTGATAAAAAAGGCAGAGGGTAACCCCAGGAAACTGCACTGCATCTGCTGCAAAAGCTCTTTATCAACAAAATTATTAAAGAGATAAGTTTTATCCCAAAATTTACACATTTGTTTCTTCCTGAAAAATTTCCCCCCTAATT